AAAAATTATGGAAAAGTAAAAGAAAAGATTCTTTCATTGTTTTACAAACTGTGCCATGCACTGCCAGAAGAACAAACAGATCCGTCTTCCGAGAAACGAGGTTGTCAAGGACAGTGAAAGTCTGTCTCACATACTTTGAACTGTTTGTTATCAGAAGGGACTGGTCCTTGGAGACAGACATGCCTGGAAAAGGAGAGGGGGAATGAACTAGAGGAAGATAGGAAGATATACTTAAGCGGGGTGGATTGACATAGCGATGGACAATGGACTTGACTATGTCTGAGATAATGACGGTGCTGGAGAGAGTAAGGCGGCTTCAATTTGTTCTTCACAAGATCGCTATGATTCATAGTCAACTAAATGACATCTAACAACAACAGCAACAAAGTTGCTCAGGTTGAAGGGGATTGGTTCTTTTCTCCCCACCCCCCCCCTTCTGATAAGTCTTGGCCTAGAACAAAGGTTTCTTGATTACTCTGGTAAAAAGAGCAAAGGTCGTATATAGGAACAGTTCTGCGCAGCTCTGACGGAGAAAGGTAAACTGTCCAGGGAGCCCAAAGGAGGGTCACCCTGCGTCATAATTTACTTGATAGGAGTAAGTTTGTGGGGTTTTCTGAGAAACAGACAATGCTTGCGAGAAGAATTTGAGCAGATGTGGTTTATTTGGGAGGTCACTTGGGGGACACACAATGGAGGAAGTGTGGCAGGCAGGGGAGGAAGTGAGCACTCTTACCTGCAGAGGAACTCTGGGAGTCATAGAGACACCCCGCCTCAGAGCCCTTCTGCCTGAGGGTGTGGGGGTGCTGGGCGTGTGCATGTTGGGATCAGTCCCTAACGAGATCACAATGACTCCTCCCACCCGTGTCCTCATGTCCTTGCTGCTCCTTGAATAGAGAAATCCAGTCTTTCCTCTTCTTGAATCTTTTTTATTTAAAAAAAGTATTATTAAGGGAGCTCTGGTGGCCTAGTGGCAATAAGCTGCACTGCAATCCCAGAGGTGCACGGTTCAAATCCACCAGATGCTCTGCTGAAGAAGGAGGGGCAATCTCCTCCTGTACCAGTCAGATCTGATTTGATGGTACACACACAAA